TTCTCTGCTCAAAATACTATGGGACCATCTGTATCTGAAAAAGAAATTTTATCACCATCGGTATCTCTTGAGGAATTCCTGGGACCTTCTCCTCCTGACAAAGGGTCTCTGATACCCACTCCATCTGCATCTGGGACTGGGTCCCAGAACGATGTTCTCTCAGAACAATGTTGTCAGGAAATATCTTCAGGTGTACAAGGAGATTCACCATCTCAGCAAGGCTATGTAGGAAATTCACTGCATTCGCAAGAGGATCTGGGACTGTCCATATCAGCACAGGAATATTCACTATCTGCTCAAGGGTCTTTAGCTACTTCTTTGTCATCCCAAGAGGGTCTAGGCCCTTCTTCGGACCATGGAATTTTAGGACATTCATCATTTGATGCAGAAAATCTTGGTCTTTCTGATTCTGGTCAGGGGACACTAGAAACCCCACCATTTACCCAAAGTATTTTAGAAATATCATCTTCTAACAATGGGGTTACAGAAACTTCAACAACTTCCCAAGATTCTTTAGAACATCTGCCTCCTTCAGCGCAGACTCTGCAACCTTCTCTTACACTGGAGACCTTAGAACCTTTGCCAATAGCCAAAGAGATTTGTAAGACTTCAGAATCTGTGTCAGGTACTCTAGAATCTTTTCCATCTTTGTTAGAGGCTCTGAGACATTTGAATTCTGACCAATATACTCTGGGTCCTTCAGTATATGACCAAAGGACTCTGGAGCCATCAACACCTCTCCATGATACTCTTGAAAACTCCAAACCATCCCAAGGGGTTCTAGAACCTATACCATCTACCCAAAAAGGTGTAGGACCTTTCTTTTCAATGGAGTTTTTGGGACTGTCCATTTGTGCACATGATGACTTTATTCCTATTCCTTCTCATGATGACTGCCTGAGATATTCCTCTTATCCCAATAAAAGCCATAAACTTTCCAATTCTACCAAAAAAATAGTGAGGTATGCTCCATTTCCTGAAGGAAATATTAGATATTCACTTTCAGAACTTGATGCCTTAAGATCATTGACTTCTGCCAAAAGTAGGTTCACAACTTCTATATATGTCAGAAAGGACTCAAGTTCTACCTCTCCTCCTCAGAGTGTCCCACCACCAGCGTCATCAGAATTGAACTTTAGATCTAGGTCCCCTCCTAGAGAAGATCTCAGATGTTCTTCCTCTACACGAGGTGACTCCAAACATTCAAAATCAAAGAAAACAAAATCGAGACATGCTTCTAAAAAATCACACCTTAAATCTGTCCCATCAGAAGACAAAGGCTTGAAATTTCACAATTCTTCCAAAAAGGGAGACAGAGCTTCCGTTTCCAACAAAGTTGGTGCAAGGCTTAAAACTGAGCCCAAAGAGAGCCTCACTATTCCTTCTGCCAAGGGAGGTTGTAGATCCTCATGCTCTCATGAGAAGGGCCTCAGATGTTTTCCATCTTCCCAAGGCATCCCTAGATGTTCCAGATCTACCAAAACCAAATTGGAAGAGGCCTCCTCTAACAAAGCAGATGTTCATGCTTCCCATACAGAACATGAGGGCTGTAAGCATCTCTCTTTGACACAAAGAGGATTTAGACATGCTTCATCTGCCAAAAGGGACAAGAAACCAAACATTACTCCCAAAGAGAGCACAGAAGCTTCCACTTCTACAGAAGGAGATATAGGAACTACTCCCTCTCGTGAAGACACCCTCAGGCTTTCCTCCTCCCCTCATGGGACTTCCAGCCTTACTTCTACTACTTCCACCAGGACAAGACTCAGACATTCCTCTTATACTCAAGAAGTCATCAAAACTTCCACTGAAGCCCAAGAAAGGTTCAGGTCATCTCCAGATGGAGACAGTCCCAGTGGGAGTGTCAAGTCTTTATCATCACCCCAAAACAATGATGTCAGACATCCTGTTTCTACAAAGGAGGACTTTAAACACACTCTTTATGTCCAAGAGGGACAGAAACCTCCCACTGGTGCCAGAGAGGGGAGCAGGGCTTGGATTCCTGTACAATGGGGACTCATATATTCACCAATTAAAAAACGAAGTGCTACATCATTCTCTATTGTTCAAGGAAATTTCAGACATATCCGACCTCAACTAGCAGACCTGAGATCTTCCCTCTCTTACCAAGGCAGAGACACAGCCTTCCAATATGAACATGGGACCCCCATATGTGACCCTTCTGTCTTAGGAGGCCACAGATATTCACATTCAATTCCATGCAGTCTCCAAAGATTCCCACTGCAAAAAAAGAGCCTGAGTTCTAACTTCTTCCCTCAAAGAGGCATCAGACCTTCTCTGTGTGACCAAAGGGGCCTCAGACTTTCCTATGGCCACCCTGTCCAAGGCAGCTTTAGAATGTTTCAATATGAAAGAGGAAACCTCAAGAATACCCCATCTAAAACACTGAGCCTCAGATTTGCTTCTTGTGACCAAAGGGAACTAAAAAATGTGCCCTCGAATGTAGAATGGGTTAGAACTTCAACTTCTGTCCCAGGAAGCCCCCAACATAATCCTTCTCCCCATGGAGGCTTCAAACCTTATAAGCCTGTCAAACTGAAGTTCTAAAGATGTTCATCTCAGGAGGGGATCCTGGGTCCTACTCTCTCTTATGGCATCTTTAGATCTTCTTATTTACAAGCTACCCCCATATTTTCCTATTCTGTGCCCCACATGAACAACAGGAGTTTATAACTTTTCCTTCTCATCAAACACCTGTTAAACCTTTGATTTCCATTCCTGGCTATCTCAGATGCACATTGAGGCGTTGGATTGGTCCATCTGACTATAAAAGGCAGATATTTTCCATCTGATTATGAATAGGTCACAGTTTCGACATAGACCATGATATGTAATCTAATACCCACTGAGAATAGCATGTGCTTCTTCTGACTAATGTGGCCCTAGACTTACTTCATATGGCTTAGTGGGTGACAGATCAACTTCCTCTGTCTAAGATGTTCTGAGTGTTTCTTATTTTAATCATCTGACTTCAAAGCCTCTGTCCAAATTAAAACTACCCTGGTGCCTGAAGTTCTAGAGCGTTAGAACATCCAGCAGTACCCTAAACCCAGTATATGTGCCTTAACTTGATCAGCATAAATAAAGAAATCACAGAATCAGAAGTAGTTAGTTGAACTGGTTCAGAGACCTATCTGAGAATTGCCTCTTAGTGAGTTGGAGATTGATCACACTGCTGCCTGCCCTGCATGACATGGATATTCTGTATTCCCAAGAAGATTTGATCAGGAAATGTTCAGTCTTCTCTAATTCCCAAATTGACTCTTGATATCCCATGCTTCCCACAAGAGTCTTTGACTTTTCTGCATTCCTCAAAATAGCATAAGAATTTCTGTCTCTGAAGAAAGAAAATTTTGTACTCAAATTTTCTTCTTTGTCTGTGGATGCTTCATTCTCATTATGTACAGGGGTTCTCCAAAGTTTTTTCTGAAAAAGGGGCCTCAGACTTATTCCTTCAGGTCCAGGAGGACTCATTCTTTTCCTCAGAGACTGAAGTGGAGCTCAAATTATTTTCAAGGACTCACCGGGTGCTCAGGCACATCTCCTCTGAACCAGGATGCAGAATGCACTCCACTAATTCTCAAGCAGGCTGCAGTCCCAACCACTACAGAGCCAGAGCTCTTCTAAACAGATGCATGGATGAAGGGAGCTTCTGACCTCTTCTTCAGAACTGGGGGGGGGGTCTCAGATCTTCCCCAATGGCCCAGGTGGCCTCAGTCGTTTCTGTCTAGAACCAAAGTAACTGACAACTTTTACCAGTAAACTAATAATCCATCAACAACAAAAGCTTCAGTCATTACCTGGTGTTCAAGGGGAGATTGACACACTTTTCCTTTGAGAACCAGGAGACCTCAGACATTCACTAATTGTCAAAATGGACCTCATACTTACAACTTCAGAACAAGGGTGTCATGTACATCCTCAATGCTGAAGGGAGCCTGAGACATAATTTGAGAAGCAAAGAGGCCTCAGACTTCCCCAATGCTCCAAGAAGACCAGAAATACTAACCCTTTAGAATTAATAAGCCAGAGAATTTCTGCTAAGTTGCACTGGGGATTCAGATTTACTCCAGAACCAGGACAGTTCAGGCCTCCAGCTACCAACTCCATCATGTCTTAGATATCCCCCTCAAAATTAAATTAATTCACTAATTGAGGAAGCTTACACCTTGGTGGACTAGCTTCTGAAGAGGGTTTTAAAGTTATTTTCTTCAACCACAGTAGCCCTGACTTTCATACTTTGCTAAAGGGGAGTTTCTGTAACATGCTCTTTTTGAACAAAAAAAACATAGCTTCCTTTGTCTCTACTGGAGGAGCCTGTTTGAGGAAGTAAACTACAGAACTGGCCCTGTGACTGAAAAATGTCTCAAATATTCAGACTTGGCTATCAGGTACTTGAGACTGACTCCCTATTACCAGGAAAACATAGCTTCTCTTTGTGTTCATGACTGACTCAGGTCTACCAAATAACTAATAGAGACTAGAACTTCTCCCTCAGAACTGAATGGCTAGGAAATACACTTCTGACCACCAAAGGAACCTCATGGAACTCTAGATTGAAGTTACATGGCAGAAGAATAAAAAGTACCCTGGATCTAAGATCATCTGTTTTCAAGATGCACACCAGATATATGCCTATCCTCTATGTCTACACCTGTGCGGCATATCCAAAGTTTGTCGCAAAGAGGGGAGGGTCCTTTGCTTGTCCTGGCCACCTGGCTAGCTTACACCTGAAATAACAACATAGAAACAGTATTAATTAAAACACTGCTTGGCCATTAGTTCTAACTTCTGTTTGTCTAACTCTTACATATTAGTTTAACCAATTTTTATTAATCTGCATATCACCACGAGGCTGTGACTTACCAGGAAAGATTCAGCATGTCTGATTCTGGCAGCTCCATGGCAGCTCTCTCTCTCTGCTTTCTTTCTCCCAGCATTCAGTTCTGTTTTCTCCATCTACCTAAGTTCTGCCCTATCAGGCCAAGCAGTTTCTTTATTGATTAGCCAATAAAAGCAACATATATACAAAAGGACCTCCTACATTAAAAATTTAGATAAGGAACAGACCTAGCGACTATGATTCAACTTGTAAGAAGAACCCACTGATTTCTGTTAAGCCTCAAAATGAGTCCTCAGAGATAAGGATTTTCTAGAGTTCACTGAAGAGTTAGAGACTGTCTAGTGAGTGCCGGGACTTCCTCCTCATAAGGTAAGCAGAGTGGCATTCCCTTTTAGCTGACGGGGTCTGGGATATGTCTCCTTTCTCAAACATTATTATTTTTTGCTCTGACAACTTAGGCCTTAAAATAACTCCTTTGACCCAAATGGCCTTCAGAAATTTCCCTCTGAGGAAGGGCACATGGGATATTTCACCATTGACCAAAGAGCATTGGTTCCTGTGGTTATTTCACAGAAGTCTAGAAGAGTAGACAAATTCAGGAACCCATGCCACTTCCTCACATAAAGTAGCCATTTTATAGACTTCTCAATCATACCCAGTCCTGTTTGCTTGCACAGAATTCTTAGGAGTCAGTCACACTCTGCCTCCCACTGAGTATCTTAATGAATCCTGATATTGATGCTTGGTCTCTTGCAGATTCAGCTAACGATATGGACATCCTAAAATATGAAGAAGAGTTAGATGGTGAGGCAATTCTAGGAGCTTATGAGGTATAGAAGTCAAGTGAATTTTTGCTCATGATTATATGGGATTTCCCCATTCTTATCATATTTCCCCTGCCTCATGGGTCTCAGAAACTCTTTTCTTCCCAAGGGTACTCACTCCAACCTTTGATCAAGGAGACATCTGATCTTCATCCTGGAACAAAGGGAGCCCTACATCTTTCCAGTTTGTTCAAAGGAGGCTTAGATGTTCCTTTTGTGTGAGGGGCCCATATAATTCCTGTTATTATGGAGTGGACCTCAGACATTATTCTTAATAAATGGGACCCATATTTACATTCAGTACAAGGTAAACTGTAGGCCCAATATTGATCCAATGAGAGTCTCTGCCAATAAATACCCTGTCAAGGATGATGGCTATATTCTACTTTCCTTGAAAAAGGGGACTTCAGACATACCATTTTCCTTCAAGGGTACTGATAGAAACTTATCTGATTAAGGGGATACAGACCAGTCCAGTAACATGAAGACTCACTCAGATGTTTATCTTTTTGCCATGTAAACTCCAAATAAGCACTCCCTGACCTTGGCTTCCTCAGGAAACCACTTTTATCTGCAGAAACCTATTTTCTATTTCTCTAACTGAGAAGATGTTAATCTTTACCTTCTGACCTGGGTGTCCAGGCATGCCCAAATGACCAAAGGGATGTCAGAACACTCTGAACTGATATCATGGGACAAAACAGTAAAAATCTGATCCATGATTAAACCATTTTACTTTTAAGATTTTCACCAGAATTGGAGTGGTCCCATCTTGTCTCATATGCCTGTGTTAATGATGAAAGGCTTGTGGAGGACACAGAACAAGGGATTGCCAACCAACCTGTAAGAAAAACACTCTACCTCCAATGTGGATCTCCTGAGTAAATTGGGAACATAAGGATGTTGGGATAGGGTTGAAGGGGAGGGGAGATGCAGAGAGGGGAGCAGAGAAAAATGTAGAGCTCAATAAAAATCAACAAAAAAACCCCACTCTGATTGCTTGAAATTAAGCTTCAGAGACCCAAAACATGCAGGTATTTCATAGTGTGAGGACATTTGGACCTGATAAGATATTGGCTTATTCTTCTTCTAGTTCCCAAGGTAACCTGGGAGCTTAATCTTCTGCTTGAGGGTTTCTGGACCTTTGGACTCATTCCTACCTTCCCAAAACATTCTCCCTTTCAAACATGGGGCCTGAAATCTTCCATGAATGGCCCAATAGACCTTACATCAAGATATTCAGGTATAGGTCCATGGGAGACTCTCTCTAAAAACAAGGGACATTAGTCCACTCTGGTTTGAAGTCTCATTGGCATGTTTGGCAATCAGAGCATAGAACCCCATGACATCAGTCTTAAGATCAATCAATATAAATGGAATGATTTTAACAACTCTGCCTAGATAAGGACTTCTGAACATAAACTAGAGGAAGTAACCTAGCCAGGAACAATCATCCAGGTCTTTGGAAGAAGACCTAGGTTGTTGCTGCCTTGTCTCTCCCAGAATGAACACAAACTATGAATAAGAGTTGGAAGCTCAGGATCAGTGCTAGGAACTTTCTCCATTGTATAAGGTGCCAAGGATATTCACCTTCAACAGCAGTGTGTAGGATACTTTCACACTCTGCTCAAAGGTGATTCTGTCCTTGTCATCTTTCAGTGGGGTCTCAGAGGTTTCCTCTCTTACATTGGGCTCAGAATTTTGACTTCTCTATTATTATTATTATTATTATTATTATTATTATTATTATTATTATTATTCACCTATTCCTTCTCAGTACATGGAACAGGATGTCAGAACTCTCCTAAGACTTAGATTTCCCTAAACGCCATTTTCCAATGAGGCCTATCCTAAAACATTTGTTTGGTGTTACATGGGCCCTCTACAATCTGGAATTCCTCTGCCTTCTCTGTTACCAAAAGGATGGCCTCTTATACTTATTTATTTAAAGGATTGCTTCTTCACTATACCTTTACAAGAAAAATATAGAGAAAAATTTGCCTTCACAGTGCCTACTTAAAATAATTCTCAACCTACTAGGAGATACCAGTGTACTGTCCTCTCAAAGGGGATGCTCAATATCCCAACCCTGTGTCAATACTTTGTGAGTCATCCATTGGAAATAATACATAGGCAATTCCCTAAGTCTATAATTTACCATTACATGGATGATATTTTGCTATCTGATTCAAGCATAGATACTTTAGAAAGAATGTTTGAGGAAGTAAAGATAGTTTTGCCTAAATGGGGATTACAGATTGCTCCTGAAAAGATTCAAAGAGGAGATTGTGATAATTACCTAGGATATAAAATAGGTTTGCAAAAAATTAGGACACAAAAGGCACAAATTAGGAGAGACTGATGTCTTACCAGACATTAATCTTGAAACTTAACCATCATTTTACTTTCACAGAATCCCATAGAAATAATGTCACCCCCATGGTGGCTGGAAGTAATTCTAGAAGATGAAATCCCCTTTCCCAGGAAAGTTTGTCCTCAGGGTTGGGATATCATTTAGGGTTTGATTATAATTGGTATATGGTTGAGGGTTGGGGGGAAATTTTATAAGCTCAGGGATCCTTTTGTAAAAAAAAGGGGGGGAAAATTAGATGATTGGTATTTGTGAGTTATTGTTTATAGACAATTACATTGGTATATATTTTTGTATATGGATACAAAGTTAAATTATATTGAATATTGTAGGCATGCTTGCATCTACCTCTGTTTAAAACATTTTTATGTATTGATATATATATATATTTACCACATTGCAGTATACATTTCTATTCTGATTAAGATACTTATACATTGTTTATGTATTGATATATATATTTACCATATTACATTTATCATTATGTGTGATATATATATTTACCATATACATTTCTACCTCTGATCAAGATACTTATACATTGTTTACATTTGAAGGTCATTGTCCTCATTTATTGCGCAGTTGTTAATTGTCTTAGTCTTTAAGTTAGATAGGTATTAAGAATTATAGATCAATAGTCATCTATGTTGTCATATTTATATTTAGACTAATCAGGTTCTTTAGATACATAGAGATTATATTCTGTATAAATAGATAACCTTCAATGTCTTGAAAGAGCTGTAGAAAATGGCATTTAATCTAACTTAGAGTTCTGTGGTAGTGAGACACAATCACTCCTGGCAACAATGGTCTATTCCTGAGAGATTGTTGAGCATCAAAGACACTCCACTTCGAGTTTGTCTTCTTCTTGGCAAAACTGGCATTTGGGCAAGGAACTGCCCATTCCTCAACTACTGACAAAATACATAGTATTTGGAAATGGATAAGCATAACTGTCAAATCTTGCCAAGACAGGGTGAGATGGTTTTGAAAAATTTCTTGCCTTTAAAAATAATCTGTCAGTTATTCTAGGCTTTAGCCAAAGTTGGTTGCTTCAACATTGCAAATGTGACTTTGGGTGATTGCCCAGGTAGCCAGTTGTCTCTGTCATTTGTTACATGTTTTGGAAGTTGTTTGATTGTACTTCCTAATTACTCAGGTAACATTATTCCCTTCTCAGATCTTCTATGGAGTGGAAGACTCGATAAATGTAGTTACTTTCCTCTCATGACTTGGCCAAGTTATTTGTTATACAAGACTTAGTTAGAATGGGATATTTGTTCTTATTGTATATAATTTTATAGTAGGTTTAGAACTCTCTTATTTAAATTAAATGGGGAGTTGCTGTGAAAAGGTTACAGCTAATACCTATCTGCCTATTGGCGTGTGGCCTTATGGACTATTTACCTGGATGTGGAAGCATATCTAGCCCTTTCCTCTTCTTCTCTGCCTTCCCCTCTGGACCCTGGTTTTGCTGGTTCGGTTTTTTTGGATCTCATCTTTATCTATTATTCATGCAGAGAATCCTGATTTGTAAGTTTTATCTATTAATAAATACCTGTATATTTCTTAGTTCTGAGTTAGTGTGGGATTCCTTTCATTAAGCGTCCAATCTCTACCCTCAGAAAGGTCTCTCAAAACTGGCCACTGTATACAAGGGATGTCTCAGACCTTCACCCTCTGCTCTTCAGTTCTTTAGTCCACCCTAAGACTAAAGAATCAGCATGCTTATCTTCCTTAGATGGTGACCTCATACATTCCCCAATTAAATAAGATTACTTTAGAGCTGACCCCTCTGACTAAGATAATCATACAAACACATATGCGATCAATGGGATCTCACAACTTTCCGCTTTTAGATCACAGGACAGAAGATAGAAAGAGGAAATTGGCTCTCAAGACATTTATCTCCAAGTTTGGTTATCAAAAATGCACTATTCCTGTTTTTATTTACAGATATGTACAGCTGAGTACAACCTTGAGGAAACATCAGTGCTTCCATATCCACTTAGCCTGTTGGAAGTTTGTTATGAGATTTGCCTTACACTCTCAAAGATTAGGTGGGTATGTATGTTTGCATTGGGAAAAATAGCTTGATGCTAGTGCAGAGCCTGAGCCTTTTCCCATTACCCACGATGCTTTGGGACCTTCCCCTTCTGATCATGGATGAACTGCATACTATTATTCTACCAAATATGACTGGAGCCCTCCTCCTTGTAAATAAAGACATTTGGGATTTCTCATTTGCTGAAGGTAGTATCTTAACTTCCTCTTCTGAGAAGAGGTTCTCAGAACTCCTCTGTTTTCAAGATACCTCATAAATACTTTGTTTATTGAAGTTTTCATGAGAACTACCCTGGGTCAGAATTGTCCTTCCCTCAATTAAAAATGTGTACTTACACCTTATCCACCTGTACAAGGGAGACTAGGACTCTAGGAAACTCATGCATTCCTTTTATTCACAAGGCAACATTAGAGATGTTGTTTTGAATAATACTGCATTCTACCTTGTAGGATTCTATCAAAAATACTCAAACATTCCATTCTGTCTTTGAAGTACCTTCAAAATATGCTGCTCTAAATAAAAATGATTTAAACCTTTTATATTTGGCACTGGTGGCTAGGGAAATGCTTTGCTCCACTGTAGGCTGTGGTCCCCGGTCCTAACTGAAGAATTAGAAACTGAATCCTAAGCTATATTTTTCAATCAAATCACTAGAAATCAACTGACCCCATCATTGCTGCCCATATATGGACTATAAAGACAACCTGAAAAAGAAGAGGAAACCTAGCTGTTGACAGCCATCCAGACACATTGAAGAAGGCTCTTTTTGCTGCCGGAACTCTCCAAGACTCAACACAAGATGAGGAAGCTCTAAAGAAGAGTTGGAAGTTGAAGTGCAGTAATGGAACCTTCCTTCACTGAATAAGGTAGTAAGGACATTCACCTTCAACAGTATGGTGCATGACATTTCTCCCTTCTGTGCAAGCGTTTTCCAACTCATACCCTTGCCCTAAACAGGTCTCAAAATTTTCCCTTTCTCACAAAGTGCCAATGTTTCCATTTTTCTCAAGTTAGCTCACTCCTTTTACTTCACTGATAAGAATGTTAGACCTCCCTCCTAGGACAAAGCCAACTGCAGACCTTCCCCCATTAGCCTAACGTGGTCTCAAGTATTCATTTTGTGGCAAAGACCCTCAAACTTTACCTTTGAATAAAGAGGCCTCAGATTAAATATTACTTACACAACTCACACTGTACAAATGAGAATCAGATCTGCCCATATTCAGTAAAATGTAGTGAAAGGGGGAGCTATGATTACAAACTTCAACCACAAAAATTACAAAGATCCCAATTTTGCCAAAAGGTGTCTGGGATATTCCACAGTGATGAATAAGATGTCAGAATTGGTTTCCATGTCCAAAGGGGTTGAAATCATTCACTCTGCATTTAATTGAGCTTCAGGTCTAGCCACTGACCCCGGGAGGCCCTAGAGCATCCCCTTCCTTTCATGGACACATTTCACTTGACCCTTGGATTCATATTGTCTTAGTGCCAATCCCAGGGGCTAATATTGCTAGGAAAACACATTTGTAACCATGGGACCTCACAAGATTCTAGGTTTAGATCAGAGGGCAAAATATAAAAAGCTAAAACTAATAATCATGCCATCTGCCTAGAATGTAGCTGTCAGAAATGTGAAATGTTCCCATCTTTCATGTAAACAAAGACTGTGCTTATGTTTCCCAACTGCCCAAACCCAAATAATTACACAGAAAATATATCAATTATAATACCACTTAGCCTATTAGCTCAGGCTTCTCATTAACTAACTCTTACATCTTAAATTAACCCATTTCTATTAATCTATGTATCACCACATGGCTGTGGCCTACTGGAAAGGTTCTAGTGTACTTCTCCTTCAGCAGCTACATGGCCTCTCCTGGACTCCACCTAATCTTTTTCTATCTCTTCCAGCCTGGCTATATTCTGCCCTCCCATTGGTCAAAGCAGGTTTATTCATTAAACAAAAAAGAAAAACATATACAGAAGGACATCCCACATCACTTACAATGATTGATAAGCACAGATCAATACAACCCTGAGAAAGCATCAGAGTTCACACATGTTGAAAGGGTGTTGTAATTGCTTCTTGTACTCTTCCCAACAGCTGTTGTAATATATGGATCATAGAAGTTGGGAAGACAGTTGAAAGCAGATGATGCTGAACCAAACCACCAAATTAAACTGACCCTTTCCCTTCTGCACAATGGGGTGATTGGATCTTGCTATTTGGTCAAATATGGTCAGACATTTTCTCTCTAAGCAAGACAGTTCAGAATGACCTCAGAAGTTTCCCCTCTGAACATGGGTTCCTCAAACTGTTCCTATTCTCAAGACATCTCACACTGTGCCTTTTTGATGACTGGTTATCAGAACACCCTTTTGAGTAAAGTAGCTGTCAGGCCTTTCTGCTATTATAAATAATATCCAAGACCTTCCCTCTCTGTTTTAGGAAATTCATAAGAATAACTGGTTTTTACTAAAGTAATCTCAGAACTTCCATTTTTTCAAGGTGACCAAGATCAAAAGACCCCCCCCCACCCCATTGTGCATGTGGGTTTCAGAATTATCCCCATAATGGAGGACCTTAGATCTTTCCCCTCTAACTACGGCTCCTAGGAAAATACATGTGTGACCAAAGGGTCTTCATCTTGCTCTGCTTTGAGGTGACAGAGCCTGAGACTTAGGTCATCTTTGCTTCATTAAAGTCACCAGAATGATGAGGTCCCATCCTTCAAGCACACACCAATGTAGCTGATGAGAACTGGAGCTTGCCGATCATGACTTCCGAATGATATTCAGATCACTGCCAGGCCTGCCACAGTGTGCCTGAAGATGTGAATCTTCTAAACTGTGATGAAATCTTCCCTCCACTGCACAAAGTAGACTAGGATACTCCCTTTTGCCTAAGTGGTTTGTGACTTTGCTTCTCTCTTTAAGTCTGCTGAAGTCTTCTATTCCTAACCACCATCTATTTCTGTCAATAAGACATCAAATGCACTCTCTGTAACCAAGAGGACCTGATATCTATCTTGCATGACTGAGGGGGCCAGGGAAGATCTCCGGCCCAAGGCCCCCAAACTTCCAAATTCCAATAAAAAAACCTTCAAAACTTACCTTCACTTAGCAAGGATCCAATTTTTGATGAAGGAGGGTTCAGACCTTCCCCTTCTACTTAAATATTTCTCACCTCCAATATATCATCTGAAAGGTCATCATTATCCTCTTTTTGTTCCAGGGCCCTCAAATTTCCATCATCTGGCTAAGAGGTGTGAAAATGTCTTTCTTTCATAGAGGAGATTCTGAGTGTCTAACTCAGAATATCATAGCATCAGACACTATTCAGAAATACTTTGTCTTTCCCCTCTATGTAGGTGGAAATAAAACTTTCTCCCAAAGTCCAAGATGGCTTGAAATATGTCCTCTTTTTCCCAAGGGTGACTCAGGCCTACCAGCTCTACTATGGGGCCCACAGATCTTTTTCTATTGACTCTGTATGTCTGCTATATTCCCAACTGTCTAGGATTGTTTCAAACTTTCTTCCTACTACGTATAATATAAGACATTACCCTCTGAACAAAGGAGTCTCGGGCTTATCTTATCTGACCAACGGCTTCTTAGACTGAAAATAACCGTCCAACCACTTGGGAAACAGGCAATGATTACTGCCCAGCCTTTCAGAAGCCCACAAAAGGTAAGGATATTCTCAATACTGAAAAAGATTTGGAAGCTGACCAGGCAGGACCAGCCCTTCCTCTGCTCCACAAGGTATTTACTTTATGCTCAATGGGAAATTGCCTTTCCTATTTCATTGCACATTGCCATAGACTTCACACCTCTGAAAAATAGGTGTAGACCTTCAGCTGTGCACAAAATATCTCAGAAATTCCAGTTGTAACAAGAGTGCATTCATAGTTCTCATTATTCCCATGAATTCTGCCACATTACATTTTTTTATTAAGGGCATAATAGTCCTTCTATTTCTGTCCAAAGCACCAAGGGCCTACCCCATCTTACATACTGAGAGTTAGACATTCACATCAATAGAGAGTGCCTCAGGCCTGCCTTGTGTGATCAAGGAAATTTCATAGTTGATTTCATACTTATAACTTCTAATTTGGGTGGCCTGGACAGTACTGTTCTGACTAAAGAGATCTCAGATCTCTCTGGACCGAGGTCCCTGAACACAAGAACAGAAAGATGAGGGTAACTCAGGCTACTGTCTTCACTCTAGTCCCTTAGACAGAGAATTCCTGTCCTACAAGAGGAGAAATTTGTGGATGGGCCTATACTAGATGAAGAAACTGAGTCACAGACTACTGTCGTGCGGCTTTTAGAAGACTTCTAAGACTGCTGACATGCCTGACATGGACATTCAGAAAATGTGTATTCTAGACTGTGATTTTCAGGTTGGTGCCGAAGAAGAAGTGAGTGTCTGGGACTCCCTATAATTCTGAGGGTATCATTCAAATTTCAGCTTCTGCCCAATAGAGTCACAGACATATGACCAAGGGAGGCTGAGATTATTCCACCCAGTCCTAGGGAGTTTCTGACTCTTCATTCTAAATTAGAGGGTCTTAGATCTTTCACTTGCTCCCAAAGTGGTAGCAGAATTTCTTATTCTGCCCACTTAGGCTTTCCCTGCCTACCTAAGCTCTACCTTGCTATAGGTCTAAAACAACTTCTTTATTAATGGTAATCACAGCACATAGAGGGGACTCCCACATCATGGATATGCTCCACATACCCAGAGAAGTCTGAGAGCATCCTCTCTTTCTTACTGAAGTGGCTTTTAGACTATCCCCTCTCCCAAGTATACCCCCAAGTCTTTGTCTTCTGACCAAAGGGTTTCAGTCCTGCCTGCTCTAATAGAGAGGTACAGTCCACCAACATACAAAGGGTTCCCAGATCTTCTGAATATGCCCTTGTGGTGGGAGTACACTTACTAGGTTCATATAATTGGTCCACATACCATTCTGATGTGACCAAATAAGTTTCAGTCTACTGCCTCTGATTTACCAGATGGCCTCAAATCTTCTCATTTTGCAAGTTGTCTTCAAATAGGACTTTCTGTCCAATGAGAGCCTCACACTCTTGTCCTCTGATTAAGTGGCCTCAGACATTCTCCCACCCAAACATGAGACCACAGAATATTTTTCTTCACACAATGACTTCTCCAGACCTCCCAGGCTTAAAGTCTCCAAGTCCTGGTTTATCAAATAGAGTCTAGAACTGAAACCCACTGCCTGAAAGCCAAAATCAATATAATGTGGTCCCCATCATTTAAACCTAGATCTGAGCAGCTGAACATATGCTTGAGAAGGAGAACAAGCTTGGGACTCTCATGCAGACTTTTGGAAAATACTGACTTCTGCCTCACCTACCACACATTCACTACAGTGGACAGATGTTGGAGTATCTGATGAAGAGCTGGAGGCTTAGGCAGTTCCTGGAATGGGCTCCACTGTATGAGGTGGGCTGGGACCTTGATCTCTTGTCAAGCAGTGCGTATGCTGATTTCCAACTTTATCTAATCCAACATGTTAGTCTACATCTACAATAGTCCCCAGATTTCCACACTCCTCAAAAAACGCCCTCAAACATTTCCCCTCTGACCCTGGGGTCATTGTATTTTCTTCAGGGCTCTTGCTTCCAACTTCCTTCCCCATGCACCTTGGCAGGCCTCTGACCTCTCACCTCTGACTTTTTGTTCCCTATTCGTATATTTCTTACTTATGTGGGGGGCATTCAAGGTCTGAATATGAGGCCTTCAATAGTGCTGCCATTGACCAAGGGTGTCTCACACATGCTCTTTCCCTTTAATGGAGTATTCAAATTCCACGTCTGGCCAAGAGATCTTCAGATCTTCTTTTTCTGTTCCATAAAGTGTCTGTACTAACATCTTTATCCAAAGGGCCTCTGGTTTTACCTTCTGACCAAGCAAGTGTCTGACATTCCCACTCTGCTTGAGACACATGTACATGAGGTGGACAGAAGCCTTGGGCACACTCCTTCTAATCAATATAATATTCTTCCCCTCAAGTTTGAGGCCTCAGAGTGCAAGAGTAGCAAGGAGAGTCTGGAAAACAGCCATCAGTCTTGAGGGCATTCATCAGAACATCAGAAGTGGACTGCTCCCAACCTTAGTGCCCTGAACAGGATGACTGAACACCAACCCGTGAGGCTGAAAAAGCGACAGACACCAGCCATGCTCCTGCAACAATGTTCAGATTACTGCATATCCTTCTGAAGATGCCACAGATGATATTGTTACTTTGTTGTAGTTGTTATTATTTTGATTGTTGTTCTCTTCTTGGTGTTATTGTTTTCTTTTAAGCTTAAAAGAGGACACCTTGATATTTTCTTGGTATGTTAATTATCTACTGGCATTAAAATCTGGCAACCAACTGGATAAATGTTTCACATGTTCTACTCTATTTGGAAATCACAATGTATTGACATCTTCCACCTTTTTGTATCAAAGATATGTGTGTGTGTGCAAAACCATTTCCTGTGCTAAGTTAAGTTTTTACACCTAATGATTTTTTTCCTATTTTTTTTTATTTTATTAAATTATAAAAGTTTCCATTTCCGCCCCTCCTCCCAACACCCTCCCACTCCCCCCACTCCCTCTCCTCCTCCCTCTCCATCCCTAAGAGCAGTCAGTTTCCTGCCCTGTGGGAAGTTCAAGTTCCTCCCCCCTCCCTCCAGGTCCAGGGAAGATGAGAATCCAAACAGACTGGATCGCCAAAATCCAGTATATGCAGAGGAAGCAAGTCCCAGTGTCATTATCAATGGCTTTTCAGAAAGGCTCCGGGCCAGCCACATTCAGAGAATCTGGTTGGATCGCGTCCTCGTTCAGTCCCAGTCCAACTGGCCTTGGTGAACTCTCATTATATCAGTCCCCTTGTATCATTGGGTGCTCGCATCCCTCGCAGTCATGATTTCTTTTTTCATTTTCTTCATCCTTCTGCTCCTCATTTGGACCGTGGAGGGCTCAGTCCGGTGCTCCAATATGGGTCTCCGTCTGTATCGCCATCCAACGTCGGATGAAGGTTTCCTCTGCTCTTGCCTTCTTTGCTCACGTTCTCTTTCCTTCTGCCTCTCGTTTGGACCTAGGAAGCCAGATCCAGTGTTCCAACGTGGGTCTCTGCCTACTTCTCCATCCATCGCCAGATGACGGTTCTATGGTGACATGCAAAATATTCATCAGTATGGTTGTGGGCCAAGGCCGGTTCAGGCACCCTCTCCTCTGGCCAGAGAACAATCTGGGGATCTCTCCTTGGATCTGGGATCCCCTTTATAATCAAGTCTCTTGTAAACCCTAAAATGACTCCCTTAGTTGAGGTATATACTTCCCTGATCCCATATCCACCCTTTCTCCCTCCCCCCCCATCCCAGTCCCCCATCTTTCCCCATTCCTCCCCTACTCCCTTCTCTCTAACCCTCTCCCCTTCCAACAGCCCCCCCCACCCCCTCATGCACCCGAGGTTACCTGGCACTCTTGTCTATTTCCAATCTCCAGGAGGATAGCTACATGATTTTCATCAGGTTCACCTTCCTATTTAGCTTCTCTAGGACCACGAACAATAGGCTCAAAGACCTTTAATTATGGTTAGAATCCACTTATGGGTGAATATTTTATTTTAAAAATTAAAGTTATTTTTTTAAAAATTAAATTCATTTATTTATTTACTTTACATCCTAGATGCAACCTCCACCCTCCCCTCCCAGTCCTATTCTATCCCCCTCTGTTTCCACCCCCAATCCACTCCTCCTCTATTTCTGCTCAGAAAAGGGCAGGTCTCCTATGGAATTAACAAAACATAGCAAACAAAGTTTCAGTAAGACTAAGCATCTCCCATGCACCAAGGCAGGGCAAGGTGACCCAGAATGAGGAGGAGGTTTTCAAAAGCCTGTAAAAGAGTTGGAGATAGTACCTGTTCCCATAGTCAGGAGTCCTACAATAGGATCAAACCACACAATTGTAACATATATGCAGAGAAAATTTCATTTGATGCCATTTGGAAGATCCTTTCTTATTAATGTGTCTTAAAATAATGGATCTTAGAGCTTAGGGTGTATGACTTAATATCTTCAGCAGCGTAAATACATTCAGTGTCATTGCTGTTAGTTGACTATAAATATCAATTAGAAATACACAGTAATAACTGAAGCAATAATAAAATGTAAGGAAGAATTTCAGAAATCCCAGTTACTAACAAAATCTATGTATATCAAATGGACATTGAACAAGAAATTTAGTATTTTGTATGTGTTTTTTTTAGAAGGCATTGTAGTTTGAATGTCCAATCTTTAAATCTTTTTTAATTGAACAGTTCCTTTTAAATTTTATTAATTAGCATTTTCCCATCCTGATCACACTTTCCCTTCTCTCCTCCCTCTCCTTCTAGACACTCACCCCAATCCCTCCTAAATTGGAGGTAGTAAACTGAGCACAGTGTGCATATGAGAAGAACAGCGAGATTTGGTGTTTATCGTTACATCTGTCTGTGTGTTTATCATGTATGTATGTATGTATTTATGTATGTCTGTATGCATCTATCTATCTATCTATCTATCTATCTATCTATCTATCCATCTATCATCTATCTCTCCATCTATCTACATATCTAGTGTGTTGGTGAAGGGTGCATGTGCCATGACATAAATATGGAAATGATAAGTACAAGTTGTGATATCTTTTCTTTTCTTCTACCATGTTCATCTTTTGGATCTAACACCATTTATCTGGAATAGCTGCAATTACCTCTGAGCCAAATCACCATTAGTAATGCTGTGTTTAAAAGTTAAAGGATTATTTAAACTATTAATGTCAAGTGTACATGATATCAAAACTATTGCCCCTGTTATTCATTGAATATAATGCTTAAATTCTTATGTAAGGATTTTGATCCAAAATGCTGTAGTATGGGAATTAGGGCCTAATTGGAGGGGTGAAAGTTTTGAAGACTCAATTGTAACATGGAGGGCCAGCTTGTTGGGGGTTTCTGTCTTGCCTGGTACCCCACAACCAGCAAGCCCCCAAGAAAATCACACAGAGATCTCCATAAGCTATAAAACTGATTGTCCCATTAGCTCAGGCTACTTATTATCTCTTATAACTTATGTTAGCCCATTATTTTTTATCTATGTTAGCCACACAGCTCAGTACCTTTCTCAGCATGGCAGCTCACATGTTGCTTCTTCAGTCATCTGGGCAAGACTGGGAGTGAGCTTCCTGCTTCCCAGAATTCTCCTGTTCTCTTTGCTCCACCTCTACTTCCTGTCTGGTTTTCCCACCTATACTTCTTGCCTGGCCGATCAGTATTTATTTAAAATATGATTGACAGAATACAGACAGTTATCCCGCACCACTCAATCTCAGGAATGAATTATTACTGTCATCAATGGGATGAGTTCTGTTGCAATGCCGTTCCCCTCTGGATTTCTTTCTCACTCTTTTGTCCTTCTGGTTTCTGCAACAGCCTTTGCCAGGATGCTGGATTCTAGTTCTGGCTTTGAATATTTTTATTAAGTTTGTTTCTAGACAGTTTTTCAACTGTAAACAATCCATACTGGCCACTCTCACCCTTCACCTCCCTATGACATCTGGTGCATCAAGCCTCCTGATAATCTTATAAAACTTTCATGATTACCATTGTTCTGCGACTTACTCAAATTGAACAGGGCTTTCTGTGTGACCATGGATTTATAGACATCTGTCAGAGCCTGAGTGGGTCGACTCAGCAGTGGGTACACAACTGAAGACAAAGTATTGAAGATAGAGAATATTTTTTTCAAAACATTTTACCCATAGCTTCTAGTTTTTAATGTGCCCTGGCCCCTTCTTCTGCAATTTCCCCTGAGATTAGGAGGATGTTATAAGTGCCACATTTAGAAATAAGCCCAATATAGCTCGGATGGCATTTTTCACCAAAGAAAATCTTTCTGATATATGCCAGCCCTTTCTTGTGAAAGCGGAGAGCAGCTTTCCTCTCTGGATACAAGCATGGCTTTGTGCAAGGAAATTTGCTTTAGGGTGAAACTGGTTTAAGCCTTCATGGGGGAGGAATGGGTTTGTTGGCTCTGAGACCATGTAGAACAATGGTGACATAGAAGTGAGAGAGAGGGTGAACAGGAGGAGCATTGCATGGAGTAAAAAACTCTTTGATGATAGAAAGAGCAGGTCTGACCATGGTTTTGTCAGGTTGCCTCAGCATAGCAAAAAGTATTTAGGATAGCTCTAATCTGAGGGAAAAGACTCGTATGCTTTCAGCTCCAGTCATGTCTCCTTATTGTTCAGTTTTAAGTCTAATTTTCTTGCCCTAATTGTCTATAGTTTCTTATCTCCAATTCTCTCTCAATTCTAATTTCAATTCGCCATTACAAATCTCTGTCCCAATTCATTGTTGTTCTAATAACTCTACATTCTTTCTTCTTCTTTTTCTTCATTTTCCTACAGTCTTTACTCTTTCAATCTTATTTCTTCTGCTGTCGCACATTCCCAAATGTGTGTGTGTGTGTGTGTGTGTGTGTGTGTGTGTATTAGCAACTTGTTAGTAATAAAAAACAAGGAAAATTCTCAGAGACACAGGCATTCTTTGAAGATATGTAACAAAACTTATCAGCTAGTTTGTAGCTAACTGCAGCTGCAACTGTGTGGAGACCTCTGCCCTCTCTTAAAGGGAGCCTCTACAGGTTACAAAGAAAGAAAACTAAACCACTGAGAAATCTAAGAAAGAGACAAAGAGTACATATACTATTTTAAATTTCTTTTTTATTGAGCTATACATTTTTCTCTGTTCCCCTCCATTTACACTTCCCTTCTACCCTCTTCCATTATCCCCAAGCTCCCAATTTACTCAGACGATCTTCTCTTTTTCTACTTTCCATGTAAATTAAATCCACATATGTCTCTCTTAGGGTCATCTTTGTTGTCTAGGTTCTCTGGGATTGTGAATTGTAAGCTGTTTTATATTGCCTCTAAAAGTCACTTAGGAGTGAACACATATGATATTTGTCTTTCTGGTCTGGGTTACCTCACTCAATATGGTGTTTTCTAGATCTATCCATTTGCCCACAAATTTAAAGATGTCAATATTTTTTCTACTGTCTAGTACTCCATTGTGTAAATGTACCACATCTTCTTTATCTATTCTTCAGTCGAAGGGCATTTAGGTTATTTCCAGGTTCTGGCTATGACAAATAATGCTGCTATTAATGTAGCTGAGCATATGTCCTTGTGGTATAATTGAACATCCTTTGGGTTTATACCCAAAAGTAGCATTGTTGGGTGTTGAGGTAGGTTGTTTCCTAATTTTCTGAGAAATTGTCATACAGATTTCCAAAGTGACTATACCAGCTTGAATTCTTATCAGTAGTGGAGGAGTAG